CCGGCATAACTGGTATTCAAATCTTGTAGATTAGAAAACTGAGACTCATGTTAAGTAGCTTGCCCAAAGTCACACCTATAATAAAGGACAAAGCCAGGTTCTGAAACTTGGTATGTCAGGCTCCAAAGCCCATGATCTTTTCTCTACACTGTGACTTCCCAGACTTAACCTAATCACAGGAGTCATCTAAGGTGCCTGTTTAAAAAATGAAATACCGAGCCACGGGGCTTCTGGAACTTCTGATTCAGTTTCAGTTTGAGGTAAGGCCAGGTAGTGTATTATTAACAGGAATCTTAGGTGATTCTGATCATCACACAGGTTTGGGAAACACTGCCAACTCCATGTGGTACTAAGAGGTGGGGTTTGAAGGTGTTAGGAAGGCATAAATAGCTCTGGGGGTACACAGAGGAGCTTAAAAAATAAGTTGACACTTTACTAGTAAAATAAGACTAGTAAGATTGGATTGTGGAAATTATAAAATTGCTTTAGGTTCCTTAATCTGCACAGAAAAACAGTGTTTCGTTTATTTTCTCTTTGTTAGTACTTCTCTTTCAGGTGACAGCATTTGTTACAATCCATTCTTTGGTATTATCCTTGTTTACACTTGGATACAAAGGTACCACTGAAGGATATAGATAAAACTGTATTTTAGATGCAGAAAAGAAAGAAGGAATTACAGTTAGAAATAACATACAAAACAGCTTTAAATACAGAATTAGTAATTTCCTCAGGTGTAAAAACCCCACAAAATTTTAAATACTTTTAGTCCTTAAAGTCACAGGATTATAACATTTTCAAGCTGTAAGAGCCCTTAGATATCCACATATTTTATGCATGAAGAAACCACAAATCAGAGAGGCTTTAAGGGCTTGCCCACAGTTAGTGGTGGATTCAAATCCATGCTGGCTAAGATTCCATTGAACTCTTATGGATTGCAGATAAGTACCAGAAAATAGTGACTTTTTAGAAATAAATTTAGTGGCAATCATGTTTACCTTATATTCCCTACTTTATCTGATTTTATGGTTTCTTCCTTTTTAATTGCCCCCTCGAGAATATGAATATATTCAAAGGCGTCTCTTTTAGGAGAGTATGCAATTTTAAATGTTATGTCGGATCAATGATACGTTAGAAAAACGAACCATTACCTTAGTGTAGTGTATTTAACAAACGGACATTTTCAGAACATGTGTTAAGAGTTGTAGTTTTCTCCACTTTTTATTACAAAATTTTATTTTATAAATATAGAAAAATGAGCACAGCTAGATGCCTATACTTGAATTCTCACAGTCATATGACATCATTTCTGTGTAGTAGTGTGAGCTTTGGATTCAGACTTGGGTTCATTCGTCTTATCCTCAAACTTAATACCCCTGTGATCTTGGACAAGTTACTAATTCTCAACCTAAGTTTTTTCTTCTCTATCTAATAACATCCCTCATAGTTTATTAATGATTAATTGGGATTAAATGAGAGAATATATGCAATGTAGCCAACACTGTACTTTGAACAAAATAAGCATTGCATAAATGATAGCTGTTATTATTTATTTCCTTGAGCCAGTAGTTATTTAGAATAATATTGATTTCTGAATGAGGGCTTTATTTCCTTATTCAGTTTTTATCATAATCAGAAAATATCTGTACAGTTCCTGCTTTTAAGAATTTTGGATTTACTTCCTGGCCTAGAACATGGTCAGTCTCTTATAACTTTTCATAGATAACTTGAACCCATATTCTTTTTACATTATAAAATTCAATATCTACCTATTCTAATGTAAGTTACATCAAATGCTTTGTCCTGTTTTATTCATTATGCTAGTTGATGTTAGTGTGCTAAAATTTCCCCTTCCACTTGTGTCCGTTTATTTCATGTTATAGTCCCCAGAACATCTCCTTTTGTGTTTTGTGGTTAGGTTAGTCGGTGATTAAGTGTTCAGTACTATTTTGCATTTATTATTTTTAATGACTCGTCTGAAAAAAGTTACACAGGCTGATTATAGAAAATCTGACAAACAGAAACATATACAGAAGGAAATAAACATCTTCACTCTTACTATGAAATATTATGAAAAGATTTAAATGTGATTAAGAGTAGGGGTTTTAGAATCAGAGTTAGGTTTGAATTTCAGCTCTACTTATTTGCTTTAGGCAGGATATTAGACTTTTTCATTTATTCAACAAATATTTATTGAGCACTTACTGTATGCCAGCCAGGCATTTTGCTAGGGGCTGAGGATACAGCGCTTTAAAAGATTGACATACCCATCTTGGCTTAATGTCCTCATTTGTAAATTAGTGATAATGCCTCACAGAGTTCTTAGAAGCATCAAAGATGTACTTGCCTGGTGTGCAGTAATTGCTCAGTAAATGATAGCAATTATTATCACTGTATGTATTAAGTACTAATTATATTTTTAGTCCAAATCAAATCACCTTTTTATTCAATCAGCTTAAGGTTTTTGCTTCACATTTTATTTTTGGCCTTAATAATACATACACTTGCTTTCTTCTTTTCTTTATGCTTTTCTATGCTTATTTGTTTTTGCTTGGCTTTCTCTTTAAAGCAGTAAATACTGGCGTGGATTTTTTAAGCTTCTTAAAAATATAACCTAAGACTATTAAAAATTTTTATTATCAAGCATTTCAAACACATACCAGAGTAGAGAGAATAGTATAATGAACCACCATATTTCCATAGCCCAGCCTCAAAGATTATCAACTCATGGCCAGTCTTGTTTCATCTGTACTCCCCATCATACACACTACTTTCTCTCTTCCCCTCCCTGGCTCCAGTGGATTATTTTGAAGCTACTCCTAGATACATCAATTCAGACGTAAATATTTACGTTTATATTTCTTAAAAGATAAAGACTTTTATAAACATCGAACATACCATCATCACTCATAAAAACATCAATAATTCTGTAACAGCATCCAATATCCAGTAAGACACTTTGTTTTAATTAGATACTTTACATTTCTTACATTATTACTTTAGGAATTATTTCTGTCATCCTATTTTAAGTTTTTTATTTTTCCTTATGGTTTGTTTTTTTTCCTTCTGCCTTATGGATTTGTTTGTTTGAAGAGGTTATGAAATACTGAAGAAAGAATTATGGAGCTAGAAAGACTTGGCTTTGAATCTTGCTTCTGCCATTCACAAATTAACTTTGCTGAGCCTTGGTTTCCTCATCTGTAAAATAGGGGTAATTATACCTACCTCCGTGCATAGGGTTGAATGTGATGCCTGCATAAAGTACTATTCACAGTCTTTGCCAGTTATTCTCCACTGATTTGGACTGCAATAAATAAGTATAATTCTCGATTGTTGTATGCTTTTTCAAAGCATGCCAAAATTTATATTTATTTGGTAGTTACTAAAAGTAGTGGTTTTAAAATATCTTTTCAGGAAAGACAGAGAATTTAGAATCTTAGTTTCTCCCTTCTTCCACTGCCTCTTTTAATTTGAGTCCACATTAATTTATCCTGAGGTTACAAATCTTACCTTTAACTTTCTAAAGGTTTATATTGTTTATATACTTATATCAGTTATTTATTCTTCATTATTGACCCTTTCTCCTTTATTGGGGTTAATTATTTTATTCAGTTATTTCTAGATATTAAGTTGGTATCAATATACTTCACCAATTCTTTCCTACCTCAGTATTCTTGAGTTCTTATTTTGATTCTCTTTCAATGGTCTAAGACATACCTTTGAACAGTTTATGAAAAAAGGTACTACCAGGATGGTGAAATTTTATAACACTGCAGAACTAAGAAGAATTTCCTGTGATCTTTGTACATGAAAAAGTAGGACAAGGTATAAAATTCTTAGATCATAACTTTTCCCTTTTAACTCTCTGTAAGTCATTACTTCATTGTCTTCTGGCATTTTATTGTTGCAGAGGAGAAATCTGAGGTCAATCTGATTTTAGTTTCTTTGAAAATAACCTATTTTTTTCTGCTTGTATGCTTGTAGGATTATATCTTTATCCTTGAAATTTAAAAACATTTGCCAGGACATGTCTTGGTGTTGATGAGCTCTGTTGAACCTTCTCAGTCTCCAGTCTCAGGTATTTTTTTCCGGAACTGGAAAGTTTTCTTATACTTTTGATTGATTAAACTGCTGGGGTTTTTTTCTTTAGGAGCATCTGTTATTCATAGATTATTTCTACGTCTGTCCTCCATCGTTTTTTAATCTTTTCTTTCATTTTTTTTTCATTTACTCGAGTTTGTCCTCCTTGGCATGGATTCTGTTTTCTGCAGTGTCAGTTCCAATACTTGCTATTCACAATGCAGATTTAATTTTGGCTACCGTGTTTTCGTTTCTTTATTCTTTTCTCAACATACTCTTGTTTCATAAGCAGAATTCCCCTTAGGGGTACACTCCAAAAAAATGAGATGGATTCAGGCCTAAAAACGTATCTATTTTCTGAGGCCACAACCACAGGAAACCGTCAGAGAGGAAAAAAAAAAGCTTCTGAAAGTTTCCTCTAAAACTTAATAATGTAAATATAACCAGTGGTCATTCCTACCCTAGTCTAGAAAATAGAATAGTCTTGAGTACTAGCAGACCTTTAGTTGCTAGAGGAATAGCAAAGCACATGTGAGGGCACCTTAACTAGAAATAAATGGATTTTTCTAGTTACATTGATTGTTTTTCTCTTTATAAAATAATATATAATAAATGCATATAATTTTGAATATCCAGTACAAAGAAGAAAATCCTATGACCCAGGTAACTACTGATAAGATTTTATATATGTTTTGCCAGTTACATGCACACATGTTGGGAGGGGGGTATGCAAAATTGGGATCATACTATTTAGTTTTGTATCCTTTTTAACTTAATATATTGCAATCATATTTTTGCATCATTAATTTTTCTTTGAGGCCCTAATTTTAACCATTGCATAGTATTCCTACATATGAATAGATGTATTATGATTTATTTAACCAGTCCCCTGTTGGTCATTTAGATTGTTTTCTATTTTTCAGTATAATGAGTGTGATGAATATCACTGTACATAAGTCTTTATGCACATCTCTGATATTTCCTTAGGATAAATGAGGAGCTGATTCTTAATCCTGTCACATTGGTAAGGATTATATACATTCCTTATTAAGAATATAAAATGCTTGTTTCTTATTGTTTCAGTGTGATTGCATAGAAGATTCTTTGGATTCTGAACAATTTGATGGTATCTTAACTGAAGTTTTAGAGAGGTTTCTCATGCCTCATCCTCAGCACCTTCACGGAAGTCCTATGGCATACGCTTTGGACAGGAAAACCACTGCTGATATCAGGGAGTTCGGAAGGCAGATACACTTGTGGAAACTTGAGGACAGTAAAGAAAAAAAAAAAAAAAGGCATGATTCTTGCTGATATCTACAACCTGGGTCTCCAAATTAGTACACTAGGGCTCTGGCCCCATTCTTTTCCTCCTCCCTTCCTGTTACTTTAGGCTGTTCTCTGTGAGGAATTCTTTTCTCCCAGTGTTCATATATACGTTTCGTTTCCAGGTAGTAGGATGTCAGTAGATGATATGTCCTACTAAGTTCAAGGTAGCATTTTTGAATCACAGATCATTTTTTCAGTCCTAATGTACTTATACAAGATGATCTCCTGCTGGACTCAGTGCATTTTTTCAGAGGTATCAAACAGCCAAACAGCCTGGAAATGTGTGTGGTTGTAACATGCCATTACAGCAAAACAATCTGTTTAATAGGGTTGCTTAAAATAAATTTTTTTTAATTAGAAAAATACTCTTATTTTTAACACTTCAAAATTTTCCTCAAAATACTTGGGGATATTCTAGAAGTCCTGAAATGTTCATTCAGAATTACTGACTTGAATTGTTTATTGCCTTAAGAGCAGGAAAATTATCTTAAGTGATAATTTTATACCACAACATTAGAAGTTAATGTTGAAAACAATACCTGCTGAAACTCAAGCTAACAGTCTCCTTTTTCTGATTTGTTCTGATAAGGCCCATATTGTACGTTATTCTAATTTTTGACTTTTACACATTTCAGAGTACCAGAGTAAAGCTTGATTAGCATTTCCTAACCTTTTCTAGTATTTCACATAATATTTGCATATGTACAGTCTGCCAAGATCTGCGATTTTTTGGCTGGAAGGCATTATGGTGGGATGAGAGAGGATAAATACATTTGCCTCACGTTTAAACTATTCTTTCGCATTTGTACTCACTCTGTAGCCACATTGTATAAAAATATATCACACATATGAATGATCTCTTCTACCCTGCTTGACAGGAAATTGGCTGTAGTAAGTGGTGAAACAGGTATCTCAACACTCTCTTGTACTTCTTTATTGCATTACACTTTGGAAGCTAACTGTAGAAATGTAAATGTTACACAGTCAATTGAGGCCAAAGAGGGGACAGGATGTAGCATTTACTGAGCATCTACTGTCCCTTGGTGGGTCCCTTTAATTACAGCATCCCTGTGAAGTAGATATTATATGCATCTTACAAATGAAAAAACTGAGGCTCAAAATGTTAAGTAACTTACCCAAGGTCAGGTAACTACAGTAGTAAGTGACAGAACTGGGGTTTAAACCTGGTACTAGCCAGATTCAGACCACATGTTTTTTTCTATTTGTTTCTTAAAATTAGAGAAATAAATTTTCTTGTTTAATTGGTATTATTCCTTGAACTTTTGGAACTATAAGTATTACAATATTGAGTCGGACTGGTGGTCCATGTAACCTAATCTCTAGTGAAGTCGAGAGTCCTTTTTCAAAAGTGAAAATTCTTAGCTGCATAGGTAACTTTATACTCATTTCTATTAGATTGCATTTGAATCCTTGTTTTGGCAAAGTGATACAAAAGGTTTGTTGAAATAAAGGTGCTTTTTTGGGTCGGTTTTGGTAAAGCTTCACTGGTATGTAGGATAACATTAGCTTTTATATTTTCCTGCTTTAAAAATTAAATTGTTCAAAATTTTAACTCTTTGGTAAACTCAGAAAGGAAGTAGTTGTTTTTGCAAAAAGTAGAGCATAAAATACCTTTAGATGTTTCACTTAATTTTTTTCTTAGATTGTTTTGTTAGTATATCGCTATTAATTAGCTGGGTGAAAAGTTCAGAAAAGAAAATACGTTGTACAATTTATGGATTACATGAAGCTGAAAATAGTGAAGCAGCTGATTGGCAGATTTGGAATCTAATCTATAGAGGTTGTAGCAATGAATCAGAACTGGAAAAAGATGAATCAAAAATTTAAAGTAAGGCTTTATTCTTGAGACTAAGTACAGAATAGAGGATAGAGGGCTTAGTTGCCGTGTAAGTGAAGAAAACAAGGAAGTAACAGACAGAAAACAGGGAAAAAAAATAGTATGACCGAGCAATGTGTTGTGGACATTGCAGAAATAATGCATATGTGAACTGCATTAATATAAGTTTATTATGTAGGACAAGGGAGGTGATATGCCCTTTACTTTACTCTGCACTGGTCATATCAAGGTTGCAATGTTAATTGCACACAATTCTCTTTACTACCCTTTCAGATGAATTGGATGCGTGCTCCGAAAAGAAAGTGGTCTCATCTTCTAAAAGGAGTGTTTGAAGGACCTCGAGTTATCTAGAAAAGAACAGACTTGGGGTAGTTTATAGTCATAGCTGTAGATTTACTTCTGTGACTTTGTAGATAGAGTACAGGCAAGTTAGTCATCATGTATTAGTAATCCTCTTAAAGGGAATTTGCATTTGAGGAAAGTTACTGTATGAAGAAGAGCATTATCGAGCAGCCAGTGCTTTTTCTGAGATAGTATAGTAAGCTGCCTGGTGAGATACTTCTTTCTTGTCCTGATAGTGTTCAAATATAGGTGAGAATGGGATAGAAAGAACTTAAGCATATGATATGAGTACATTTGTATATTTGGAACAGAAAACTTTCAAGATCCCTTACCAATTCTAAACTTTTTTTGATTCTAAGATCAAAAGGTCTTTATGCAGTATTATTTTATCCTCATGAAGCTACCTTACCTTAATAATAGTAAATTGCGTTGGTACATCTTCTTACAGTTTATAATGTATTTTCTTATGAGTTATCTCAGTTTTGAGCTTAACAACAACCCTTTGAGTAGACAGGGCAGGTATCCCCATTTTGAACAGATCAAGTAATAGGTTAGGAGAAAGTCTGAATTGCCCCAAACCATAAAGCTTTTAAGTGGCAGACCTAGGACTCTACCCCTGGTCTACCAATTCTGATTTTAGTGCCGTTTCTACCACACCAAAAAGTAAGTTATAAGCTGTGATTGTTACTTTGCATTGAAAATTACAAGGAGCAGATGATTCTCAAATTATATTCCCATGGAAAATATAAATGTAGCTCAAGTTAAACCAAGGGTTCTAAAAGCCGAATAATGGGGAGCCATTGAGTAGATCTGTGTCAGTCGGAAGAGAACACTGTGTATAATTAATGAGAAAATCTACTTTGGGCTACTAGATTAATGATGATACCATTTACTAAGAGCAAATGCAGGAGAAGTAGCAGATTGGTGGGCCACAGAGGGAGTGATTGAATTTTGGCTATAATTAAAATAGCTAACTTTGATTGTTTACTGTGTGACAGGTCTTATGTCATTATCTCATTTAGTCTTCACAACTCTCTGAAGACTTTTCAGTCTCCACTTTTCCATATGAAGGAAGTAGAGCTTAGATAGTTTAAATAACTTGTTCAAGGCTTCATAATTAGTGTAAGAGCAGAAATTTGAATCTAGGTGTCTGACTCCAAAACCAGTGTTCTTAAGAGCTAGTTTAAGGTTTGTCTGGAATGTTTGGATAAAAATGATCAGTGTTCAGTTGAATAAATGGTTGTGGCTTTTAAGAGGATGTATCCTGGAGTTATTTTGAGTCCTTACCAAAGAAGTGGGCAATACATAGCCTCTGAAAGTGTCTTTGGAAAATAAAGATTTTATACCTGCCTCCCCCTTTTCTGCATTTTGGCACCCATTTCTGTGCTTTGTAATATTGTGTGGGCATTCCCTAACCCAGGAACATACTCTGAGTGTTGGAAAATGAAAGTTACCCTTTTTAAGGGTCAGGAGACCTGTGAGATCCTGTAAGATGGATCTTTAGGATAGGGGCATGTTTCATTAACCTTTCATCTCCAGCTTGGTGCCTAGAACATAGCATGAATGAAATGAAATGGATGGATGAATGGTTGGGTGAATAAATAGAGATAGGGAGAGTAGAGAGAGGAGTTCACATTCAGAGCAGCTGTCTCCTGTGCGATGTGGGGTAATGGCTGGGCTACCTTTTATTTCCCAGTTGATAATTCTCCAAAGATGGTTAGCTTAGATCCTTGTACATTTGTTGAATTGACAAGTGGTCAGGGGCATTTACTCCTTTTCTCAGTGAGGGAACTAGAGAAGACATTACGTATACCTGACTTTTGGTTTGGTTTTGTTTTTAATTACACAAATAATATATATTCATCATAGACATTGTAGACACATCAGAAAATCCAAATAAGCAAAACAAACAATTTAAATTGTCTAAAATTCTACCACTCAGAGATAGCCACTGTTAACATTTTGGTGTATATCCTTCCAGAGTTTTTCCCATACAAATATATACATTAAAACATGTATATATTTACTTAAAATGGGATCATTACAATTCATACTGTTTTGTAAACTGCTTTTTTCACTTATTACATGTGACTGTCTTTCCATGTCAGTAAATTTACATCTTTATCATCATTTTTAGTGACTGCATAGTATTCCATTATATGGATGTACCATGATATATTTAACTAGTTCTCTATTGTTAGGAATTTAGGTTTACAATTTGGAGTTCTTTTTGGAAAAAGTTATGGTGAGCATTCTTATATGTACATCTTTGCACACTTGTCTTTTTTTTTTTTTAAAGTTGAAATGATGGGACATTTCAAAGTTTTATGTGTCTCTTTTTGTTTTTTAAATACAGACTTAGATTGCCTTCTTGAAGGGTTGTGCTGATTTACACTTTCTCCAGCAGTATATCCAGAGTGCTCTTTTCCCCATATCCGTATTAGCACTGGGTATTATTTTTTCTGTAAATCGTTAGCAATTTGAAAGGCAAAGGTATCTTTTGGTTAAATGCATTTCTTTGATTAGTATTAAGGCTGAACTCTTTTTTTCCCTTATTGCTCATTTCTGTTGAGGTTCATTGTTTTTTCTTACAGGTTTGTAAAATGAAGTTCTTTATGTATTGAGGATACCAACCCTTTGTCATATGTTGCTTTTATTTTTTTGTAATCAATTTGTCTTTATCTTTTTAATGTCTGGCAGAAGACGTTTTAAACTTGTATGGATTCAAGTGTCATTTTTTTTTCCTTTATGATTTCTGCCTCCTTACCTCATAAGTAGTACTCACCTATATTTTCTTCTAATACTTGTATAATTTTACTTTTTGACATTTAAACGTTTAATCCATCTGGAATCTCTTTGATGTAGAGACCTAGCTTAATTTTCCCCCAAATAATTAATCATTTGCCCTGATTTTCAATGGAGTTGGAATTTAGAGTGTGTTTTGACACAGAATGTATTGTAAACAATGTTTGGTGAGGTTTAAATAAGACCACTGTAGTGCATTTAACTATTAAGCTCAAGGACTTACCTGGAAAGGTAACCATCATTTATTATATCATTTCCATGGAAAAACTATTTTTATAGTTTTAAATAATCAATTTACACATTAACTTTTGAAGCACAACCTGTTGCAAATTGGCAACTGCATACTTAAATGGTGGTTCTGTACTTCATTAGAACCCTTTAGGGGTGAAAATATTCCTATACGGTTTTGTTTTACCTGTCTTCATTTGACTTAAACTGATGTGAGATCTGTTTTGGTAACTTTCTGCTTGCTATACTTTTCACAGAATGGACAGCAAATTATGGATGAACCTATGGGAGAGGAGGAGATTAATCCACAAACTGTAAGTAAAATATTGTATCATAAGGGATATAGATAAATCAGATACCATAAAATTTAAGTATTCTTATTTTTAAACTGAACAAAGTAATGATTGTACAGTGTTAGAAACTTGTTGACGCTTTCACATTAATTTTACCAAAATACGTTCTTGAATATGCCAGTGACATTTTTAAAAACTGTTTGATGAGACTGACTTTAAGAGAAGGACAAGACAAACTACTTTACATTGTTGAAGGTTTTTCATTTAGAAAAAAAAACTTAAAAAAAAAAAGCAAACTAACCATAGATTTATTAGTGAAATAAATATAAAGGTCATTATTTTTGGGAGATACTTAACGTTGAAAATGATTGTTCACCATTTCCTCATCTTGTGTTTTTGGTTCAGTCCTGAATCCCCAGCACCTAGACCAGTGCCTGGCACATAATAGGCACTCATTAAATATTAAATAAATGAATTAATAAATTGTCTCCTCTTGCAAGAAAACCATTGTTAGCAGCTCAGTTATTATCATCATTTTGTTCTGTATATAAGACAATTATTATTGATGTTTACAAAATACATATACTCTGCCACTTGCTTTTTTCACTTAATATGTCTTGAACATCTTTTTATGACAATACATGTAGATCTGCCTCATTTTAAACGGTTTCATAGTATTCTGTTTTGTGCATGTCCTGTACTTAATGTAATTTTCCCCCATTTATTTTTGTGAACTTGTGTTTCAGTAGGACATAGTCTTAGAAAAGGATGTGCTGGAACAAAGGATATGAACATTTAAATCTCAATAAGCATTGCCAGATTGCCCTCCAAACCAAAAAGTTGTAAAAACTTCACTATATGCGAGTGTTTGTTTGACCATACCCTATTCAACACTAGATGTTATCAGAAATTATTTTTAATTTGAGCCACACTAAATAAATCATACTTTCTCTTTTCAGTTTGCATCTCATTTGATTATCAGTGAAGTGTCCATGTATTATTGGCCTTTGTATTTTCGTATTTGCCCAATTTTCTTTTGGGTTACTCACTGTCTCATTATGGTCTATATGATCTCCGTATATATTCTGGATGTTAACTCCATGTCTATAATATATCTTGCAAATATTTTCCCCCTACTTTTTTTAAACAGTGATTATGTTGTCTTTCGTTGTATGTGTACAGAAGTTTTCATTTTTAAATGGTCAGCTCTGGCTTCTGGGTTTCATGTTTTAGTTAGAAAATCCTTCCCTGAATCAAGTTTATAAAAATATCCTCTCACATTTTCGTCTAACACTTTTATGGTTTTGTTTTTTGCATTTAGATTTGTGGTCTACTTGGAATTTTAGTACCTTTTATGATGCAGAAATATAACTTTTCTCTCCAAATGGATAGCCTGTTGTCCTAATCTCTACTTATTGAATAAATAAAACCCATTCATTCCCACTCATTTGAGATCCCTCTTTTACCAGATGTAAAATAGCCATATACCCCTAGTATTAGTTTCCTAGGACTGCCCTAATGAAGTACCACAACTGGGTGGCTTAAATAACAGAAATTTATTCTCTCAGTTTGTAAGACTAGAAGTTTGAAATCAAGGTGTCGACAGATCCATGTTCTCTCTGAAAGTTCTGGGGGAGGATCCTTCCTTGCCTGTTCCAGCTTCTGTTGTCTGCTGGCAGTCCTTGGCATTCCTTGGCCTGTAGACATCACTCCAATCTCTACCTCCATTGTCACATGGCATTCTCCCTGTGGGTCTGTGTCCAAATTTCCCTCTTCTTATAAGGACACCAGTCATTGGATTAGGGCCCACCTTATTCCAGTATGGCTTCATCTTAACCTTATCACACCTGCAAAGACCCTATTTTCAAATAAGATCACATTCACGGGTACCGGGGATTAGAACTTGAACATACCTTTTTGGAGGACACAGTTCAACCCACAACATCCCTGAATGTTTTGACTTTACGTACCTTTTCAATGACTGTACTTTTATTACATGTTTTTTATATGTGGCAAGGCAAGCCTTCCTATCTTTATTACCTTTCAAAATTGTAGTCTTATACATCTACTAGATGAACTTGAGAATCAGTTTATCAAACACTCCTGAAAATTTTATTGAGACTTTTATGCAAATAGCATTAAATTTATAAATTAACATGAGGAAAATTATTTTAATAAATATTGGGTCTTCACTTCCAAGAACATTCATTTATTCTGATATTCTTTTATATCCTTTATCAAAATTTTATGGTTTCTTAATATGGCTTTGTACATTTCTTATTAAGATAATTCATAGACATTTTATAGTTTTTGTTCTATTTTAAGTGGGAATTCTTTTCTGTTGTGTCTTCCATTTAGTTATTGCTAGTATGTAAAAAAAAATTAGATGTTTCTATGTGCTTTTTTGTGTGTGTGTGTGTTACGCGGGCCTCTCACTGCTGTGGCCTCTCCCGTTGCGGAGGGAGCACAGGCTCCAGGCGCGCAGGCTCAGCGGCCATGGCTCACGGGCCCGGCTGCTCTGCGGCATGTGGGATCTTCCCGGACCGGGGCACGAACCTGTGTCCCCTGCATCGGCAGGCAGACTCTCAACCACTGCGCCACCAGGGAAGCCCTCTATGTGCTTTTTAACATCAGTTATGGAAGAGTGAGATCACTGTATTCTTCTTCTCAAAACTCTTCATAAGTTTTATGCTTCCTTTAAATAAAGTCCAAACTCTGCAGTGTGACAAACCCTGTGTAATAAAACCTTTGCGCCCTTCTACCCTCTACTGAAAGTCCAATCAGTCGTATGTTTCAGGTTCTCTTTTACTCCTGAGCCTTTGTAGGTGATAGTCCCTCTCCCAGAATTATTTTCCATTACCACTCCCCTCCAGTGAAGTCCTGATCATCCTTTAGGTCCAAGTTTTGCTATCACTTCAACTGAGGTGTCTTCCTGACACAGCTACCACTTTCATTTCCACCTTGAATTGAGTATTTTTCCTTTGTGCTGCCCTAGCAGCCTATGTGTACGCTACGTGGCAACACCACACTAGATTCCATTGCTTATTTACTTGTCTGTATTTCCTACTAAACTGTGAGCTACAGGAGGCAGTGACCATGTCTGACTTACTCCTTGTTTTACATCCACGTATCTGGCTCCCAGTACCCAGTAGGTATTCCATCAGTGCTTGTTAATTAAAGGAACATGTGAATTAAGTCTTGGCTATCATGGGGCCTAGTGCCCAAGGCTGCCTTCAGATTTGGTCTAGATTTCTGCATCTCCCAAACCATTTGGGTCATTTTACTTCATTGGTCTATAGTATATGTTTATTAGCATTTAAGCAAATGTAAAAACAATCAGTAAGTATTAATACTGATTTTTTTTGCCATCAGCCACCTTTTTTCTTTTTGCAACAATTCCTTTGGAAGGAAAACCTCTAAATTTTTTATTCTCTGAAGTCTAAAATCAAATAATTTTCCATTGTGGTATTCTACATACATGGCTCATACTTTCCCTCTGAGTACTCAACAGCATTAGCAACATTTACATCTTGAAGTGAACTTCATTCTAGAGGTAGGTTGAAAAGGTGCAGGACTAGATACTACCAGCAATGTGGGTAAAGTTGTTGAGATCATTCCACATTATAGGAACTGAGTATAAGATGAAAACCTAATATTTAGTATTTCTTTAATGGTATTAAATCCAAAAGATTGTGAAATATGTATTAGCCTTATACTTTTAAATTGTATTTGCCTCTAATGTACAGTTAAAAGTTTTTGTCAATTACTGATCATTTAAATAGTGAAAGCTGAGATGTTGCAGTAGTTATTTTATGCATAACAAATTACCCCAAGCTTAGTAGCTTAAAACAACATACATTTATTATCTCACAGGTTCTGTGGGCCAGGAATCTGGGCACGGCTTTCTTTGGTTGAGAGTCTCTCACAGACTACAGTCCAGGAGTTTGCCAGGGCTAGAGTCTCATCTGCACCTTGACTGGAGAAGGATCTGCTTCCAAGCTCACATGTTTGTTGGCCCGGATTCCTGGCCCATAGGAACTGTGAGATGCTAACTGTATGTATGGAGGTCGTCGACTGGTGGGCTTTCTTGTAGGTTGATTGACCCCTTTTCTGTGGGCTAGAATGCAGAGTGTGATGATTAGCCAGTTTTGGCCTCAACAAGACTATAGGGCAGATAGAGAAGAACGAGAGAGAAGAAACCTGGATCCTTAGTGACCTAAGGATCTAGCGACACCTCTTCACTCTAACCTAGCCTCGTGCCTATGGACTGCTCCAAGAGAGAAAAATAGGCACTTACCTTGCTCGAGACTTTGCATTTTGGGGCCTTTTTGTTAGAGCAGCTTAGTCTGTACTCTGACTACATCTAATCATTCATTAACGAAGTAGTTAATGAATGTCTGTTTGGTGCCAAGAACTCTGCTAACTTGTTAGAGACACAGAAACACATAAGGGAAACTTGCAGTTTTAAAATGGCAAAATAAAGCTGTTTTTGTCCTCTTGTCCTCTGGGAAATTATCACCCAAAACAACAAGGACAATAAAACGGAAACACGGTCGTTGTAATTAGAAGACTTCTGTTATTTGAACCATAATATATAAATATGAAAAGCAGATAAAAGAGTCATAACAAGATGAAGTTATAGGACCTAAGTGCTGGTGAGGAGTATATCATCAAGAAGCAAGCCTTATTCAGGGCCCCAAAGCCCCAGAAGAGCTCAAGAATGAGGTCACTAAGTATTGGGGAAAGTGGAAGTATGGCCCAGGCTGAAAATAGAGATTGGTTGAATGTCGATATAAAAAGCCTTTACTCTAACCCCTCTCCTACCCCTGGAAGAGACAGAAAGTATTTTACAGAGAAAAATGAACCAGAGAGGCTCCATACATGGGGAACCCCAGGCATAGTAGGAAGTGGGGTGAGACACTGGGCTGGAAACAGGGAGATCAAGGGAAAGCCTACTCCTCAATGGTGTTATGATCCCCTTCCCCTCCCCATTTCACCAACCAGGACCGTATCCTCCAGAC